GGGAGGGAGGGAGAAAAGGTTTAGCAAGATGAGTTTGCAGAAAAATATCAACGCTTGCTTAAAGTGAAACCAACTGCGAAGAATAGTGTCCCATAGTGGCAGTACCGCAGGTGTGACATATAAGAGAGGAGAGAATAATGCAAAACTGCTTTAAATCCTATCTAGGACATTATAGTATCTACTTCTGATAGAAATGTGAGTTTATTTCTGTAGGGATCGATCAATAAATCAAAGCCTTCAACGCGCGAAAAACTTTACCTTAGTGGGGACTAATTGGTCGTCATGGAGGCGAGATGCTCTCACGTCAGCTACACGTCCACCTTTATTAAATAGCCGTGAAAAATCATGGAACTAGAAGAGTGATTGCTGTTTAACCAATCTTAACTTTTGATGAAGCTTTTAAGTTAAGAGGCTAACAAAGACAACAAGCAAATATTAGTCACAACGAGGAGAGAGACACTTCAAGAAAAAAAATAAATAAGCTGAAAAAGGACACTATCAAAGAATAAGCTATTCTTATGCATAGTATTGGTCAATATGCTATAAGGTTTTCCCCCAATGATAGAGGAATTTACGACTGCAATTCTGACAGCTCTATGATAAATGACGCGAGAGAAAAGGAGATTTAAGTTCCACGCTAAATTTCACACAAGAATTGTTTGCATTTACTGTTACGTTTTGGCACATTGCTGTCCCGGGTGAAAAGGGAGAAACAGAGAGAGAGAGAGAGAGCATAGGGAGTAATGGGGAGGGGGGGGGGGGGGGAGGAAGAGGAGGTATCGAAAAACATGGGAGGGAAATCCTAAACTCGCTTTTTTCAAATGTCTGGATTCTTCCAACACACACACACACATTGCATGAAATTTTACTAAGATACAATTTCAAATTAATTTTAGAAAAGAGGAGTTGTTTATATAAATATATATGCATGTATACACAAAATATCCATTCTTAATTAAGAGAAATCTAATTTAGAAGGAAGAGATCAAAGACACCACCTGATTTTTCGGCTGATGTTTTGCAAGTGCTGAGGAAGCGCGTTTGAGGTGAAAGAAGGAAAATTCAAAACATTCTCAAATTCAAACAAACGAACTGCGATTCGAGAATTCAATTCAGTACAATTTGGCCCTCATAGCCTTGGTCCGAGAGATCTGTTCTGAACCAGAAGACCTGGAGACAGCCTTCTTAATTTTCACGAAGAAAATCCAACTGCATATATGTGAGGTGGTCGTTGATATACTTACATGAGAAAGCGAGAATTATTTTCCGTCATAAATGTGCACATCAAGGTCATATTTAAACATTTTAGCATTTATTTATTTATATCAAATGGCAGGCGTTTTGATGGTTATCATTAGCCCTTTAGTTGACTTCAGGCTTCACAGAGGGCAAGGAACATCAAAGTGAAAAAAAAAGTCGAGAGGAGGGGAACTGAAGAGTGTTTCAAAGACGAAGGTTGAAAATTTAGAAATAATGTGATGTAGTACCGTGGAAGTGGTCGAATATGACATACATTGGGGTCATGGTAGTTTGAAGTCAACTGCCGGTCAATAGACTTTTTTTGCCATATGAGTATACGTTGCCCAGGGTACATCACGTGGAGGTAAGTCTATTGGACGCCCCACATTTTAGCATTGGAAGATCAATTAATTCCTCGAGACAAGCAAGATGGTTAACCCCAAAATCGATTCTATAACTAATAATCACATAGAGCATACGCTTTAAGTCAGAAATCGTGAAGAAACTATTACAAAATATTAAATGTTAAGTCATCTAATAGGGGGATAAGAAAAGCGGTCTTTCGAAAGGGATTTTATCCTCATGCGAGGACAAGTCTAGGAAAAAGACTTGTCAACTGTTTCCATTTTATGATTTAAACCTGACATATCAATAATGTCAAGAGAAAAGCTAATTTCAAAACCCTCTCTGAAGAATAATACTAATACCAACTTTAAACACAGCGTTTTTCGTGAACTATATCAACATAAGAGTGATCCGATTGAAAATTTGCAAATGATCTTTTAAAAATTGATGGGCAATTTCAGGCATAAATCAACTCGGTTTGATATTTTCATATTGATCGTAGTACCCTGGGAAGCAAAACTAACCTCATTTGTGATCGCGTCGCCAACATTGATAATCAGAAGGTCAGGGGAGAACTCAAAAGCCATTGGAAGAATCAGAGCGACCATAATTGTCAGTAAATTCGCAGTAATATGTCTGCATGCCGACTTGCAGCAGTTGAGGGGAACATTGATTAGGGTCATTTGAGAACTTGGCCTGTTCACCTCCACTTCCGAGCCACAGGAGGCAAAACTGAAAGCCACAATTCTGCAAGCCAAATGAGGAAAATAAATCTTCTCATGAAATACAGAGGTGATAGTTAAAGGTTATAGGCGGAAAATAAAGAGTTGACGCTTAATCCCTTTAAGAGCCCCCCCCCCCCTACCAAATGTAAATTTGGTAGAAAACCCAATTTATCGAATCAGCGATTTCAGCACATATTGATGCACCTAAAAGGAGTTGAAATAAATCGAAGCCCGTTTAGTTAGTAGTAGATTTTAAAGAGGATAAAATTTTAATTTGATTTTAGTTAGAATGCTTTGTGTTTGGAATTGAATTGCCTTTGGCATTCAATATTGTTCCCAATAAACGTTAAAGCTGGGAGTTAATTAACTTTTCGTTTTAGCAGGAAATTGGAAATCACTGCGTAATACATTGATCGCCCAAAGAAGTATAATCATATTGTTTTTCTGTGAAAAAACAACTTACACGCAATCAACAGCGTTACCATAGCATTATGGCAATAGGAAACCCCC